GTCATTTCTAATCCGCTCGTCCGACAGCTGTTAAAATTATTCAGTGACACCTCATTATATTGTTCACAAGCGTACAAAACATTTTGGTGAGAATTTTCGGGAAAAAAGTTATTTGTTATTTGTGAATTCAACCGTGATAATGTGATTTCTTTAAATTTGGCTGGAAAAAAGTGGACGGAAGAAAACAGCAACATCAGCTGAAATGGTTCGAAAAGTAAAGAAGCGACTTGATCGAAACCCGCGTCGCAGTGACTGAAAAACGGCTCGTGAGCTGAACATATCGCAATATTCCATTTGGTTAATTTTGAAAAAAGAGCTCGCGATAAAGCCATTGAAATTCCAAAAAGTGCAAGAACTTACACCGCAATTGAAAGAAAATAGACTCAAAATAGCTAAAGAGTTTTTTCGCTTGGCCGAAAGTGGTGAACTGCCGAATTTCGTCTTCTCCGCTGAGAAAACATTCATTGCCCAGCAGTTTGTAAAACGAACGAAATGAGGATGTTTACTTGCCAAAGAGGTCAGCTGAAAATGTCGCCCTCAGTTGGCCACCAAAACTCAAGCGCCGGTCATGGTGATGGTGTGGGCCGCCATAACAGCCGATGGTCGCTCTTCGCTCGTATTAAGCGACTGTGTCATCAGAATAAATATCAGATATCGAAAATATTCTGGAGGGTGTATTAAAGCCTTGGGCATGCGAACATTTTGGCCGCAGACCTTGGACATTCCAACAGGACTCAGCACCATCGCACTCAGCACGCGTCACCCAAGAATGGTTACAAATGAGGTTCCTCGATTTATTTCCAGTACACAATGGTCACCAAAATCTTCGGATACCAATCCGTTGGACTATTGCGCCTGGGGTATTTTGGAAAGCAAGGTTGTCACTAAAAAATACCAAAATGTCGATCACCTCAAGCAAGCTCTTCGCCAAAATACCGCAGAGCAACATTCGGACAGCGGTGTGACTGTTTCGTTGGCCATTTGAAGGCCATAATTTGTGCCAAAGGTCACCTATTCTAAAATTTGATTCTATTTCCGACATTCTTTGCTTTCATTCACTAAAATTTAAAAAAAAAAAATGTAAAAATTATGCCGCTTGACTTTGTTGTAGTATTTTTATATCACTCTGTGTATGTGAACATTTCCAAAAAAATACTAGGCCTGTATTCTAACACTAACCTTTGCGTCATGCAAAATTTCGTGCAGATCGGTCAATAATTGCGTCCTGAAGAATGATTACAACATATAACAAGGGCTAGCCCGCCCGACGAGATTTGAAAGCTAATTTTAACATCTTGGGTTTAATATCATAATTAGAATACTTACTTAGAATACCCCCAACATATAGTATTGCATCGCATAACATAGGGGCATAGGGGAATATATTAGACGAAGACGAAAAAAATAAAGTCTAGCTACCTTTAAACCACAACAACCACATTGATCTATGCCTAACAATTATGTAGTAGGACAGCCGATTTCAACAGAATTTAAAATTCTTCATAATGGAGGTTACATGTGACGTAATTTTTTTACACTCCACCATACATAGTATGGAGTTCGTCATTCCGTTTGTAACTCATCGAAATAATCATTTTAGACCCCACAAAGTATATATATTCTTGATCAGCGTAAAATTCGATTCGATTTAGCCATGTCCGTCCGTCTGTCCGTAATCACGCTACAGTAAATACGAATTAAGATAGAAAGAAAATTTTGCACATATCTGTCTTTGTCTGCAGGCAGGTCAAGTTCAAAGATGGGCTATATCGGTCCACGATGTCGTATTTCGGTATTTTGATGATTTTAGCCACATTTTTTGATGGTATTGTCTGAAATCGGACACAAGGAGTCCCTTCTGAGTACTTTACCCCCTGAAAGAGAATTGTCTGTATAGGTCTACGATATCGTATATCCCCCATATAAATGCACCCCCGATATTCGGTATTTTGACGATTTTAGATACATTTTTCAATGGAACTGTCTGAAAATCCTCACAAGGAGTTTTTGTGAGTACTTTACCTCCTAAAAGAGAATTGTCTATATGGGTTCACGATATTGTATAGCCCCATATAAGGGTAACCCCCGATTTTCGGTATTTTGATGATTTTAGCCGCATTTTTTCAACGGAATTTTCTGAAACTCTACACAAAGAGTTCTTTCGGAGCACTTTATCCCCTAAAAGGGAATTGTCTATATAGGTCCACAAAATCGTATAAACCCATATGCAACGGTACCCGATATTCGGTATATTGATTTTAGCCACATTTCCAATAGTCTTGTCTGAAAATCCAGACAAGGAGTTCTTTGTGAGTACTTTATCCCCTGGAAGATAATTATCTATATAAGTCCACGATATCTTATAGCCCCCATATAACTAAACCCCCCGGTATTCGATATTTTGATAATGTTTGTCACATTTTTCAATGGAATTGTCTTAAAATCCACACAAGTAGTTCCTTGTGAGTACTTTACACCCAGACATAGATTTGTCTTTATAGGTCCACAATATCGTATATCCCCCCCATATATCGGCACCTTCCGATATTAGGTATTTTAAAGATTTTAACAGAATTTTTAATGGATTTTATTTTTTTGAAAATTTTCTAATTTGTTCCAAATGGTGGAGGGTATTCAAAGTTCGGCCCGGCCGAACTTACTGCTTTTTTACTTGTTTTTTTTTTTAAGTTTTATTTGTGTCCTTTTTTATGACCTTTATTATGTCCTCCACCACACAATAGAGGGTATATTCAATGTCTCACCTCGAAGTAATCGTCGGAGACTCCAATAGGTGTATATATATTTAATCAGCGTAACATTTTAAGTCGGTTTATTGGTGTCCGTCTCTATTTCCGTTGAAATCACGATATAGTCCACATTATTTAATCTGGTGCTTGACAATGGGCTATAGGGTCCATGTTTATGTATAGCCCCAGTAAACGGTACCTCCCTATTTTCGTTAGTTTGAAGCTTTCTGCCACAATTGCCATCCACATTAGTTCCAACTTTACAATGGCGATCCTTGGTAAGTCTATTCTTTCAAAACTTAAGATTTTGTCAAAATGGAAACACTATGTTCGAAAGATCCTAAGTGACTGATAGAGGCAGATAGTGGACCTTTGTCATTTTCTTCAAGCCTAGATGATGTTTAAAATCATGAAAGAAAACATTCACAACACGACATTAGGTAAAAACAGGGAAGGTTACTGTACATACCCGTAAATGGGGCCGAAAAAAAACTACGGTCCTTGGTGGAGGTCTGGGCTCCAAAAGTAATCCTTGGCGCAGGTAAGAGCTTCAATGCAATTCACAAAGACGTATAAAAATAAACTTAATGAGCTAAATAGCCACACGAAAGCAATAAAGTAAAAAATAAGTACCATGAAATACTTAATTAATATCCAATTTAATAGACCCCAATAGTCATTAACTTTTAATGGGTTATTCGGCCAATTTTTACAGAAAGTATAAAATATATCTGTAATAGAAGACAAGTGTATCGGCGTTTTGACAGCTTATATCGCAAAGTAACTTATATACAGAGGGCATGTTCCACTCTTATCAATATTATTAATTTTAAGTATTTGGTTTTTTATCCTGCACAAAAAGACACAGCCGAGTTACAGCACTGTTTGAATGAATAGAATCGAAATTTTTAAGTTGAAACAGGTCACAAAACAAGCTCAACCGTTTAGTTTAGAGGGCAGTTAAAACTTTTTCTGAAAATGTTACTTGTTAACCATACCGATCCTTAGCCAAATTTCCTACTTGATCATAAACGTTTAGGCCAAAAATCATTCAGAATTTTTCCAATAATTTGATTTTCAAAATATATCATTTTAACTCAAATGCTTGCCTCTAATATTTTTAAAACATTCTATTTCAGCAAATAGAAAATCAATTAATTTACATCAAGCCATTTTGATTTCGTAAAACACTGCAATAAAACGCCAAAAAACGGAAAATATGAATACCATTAAAATTCATAGATTTCAATGCACAAACAAATAAAAAAGTTATCAATTACAAAAAAGTTCCAAAAGAACTCTCAACAATCAAATTGAAGTAATAAAAAGTCAAAATTGCTTGTTTTTGGGGCCGACATGTTAGCGACAGCAAAGGGGTGGTGGATTGTTGGATTTCAAGTGACAAGTGCCACTTGGCCCTCCAAAAAAAAAAAGGCAAATAACCGTAGAGAAAGACCGCACAAAAGACCACATAAAGTTAAATAATTCTAAGCTCCATTTGCAGTGAAATTTAGGTGACAACTCTACCATTCGCCTGCCCCACCCTCTCCCCCTGGGCCATGGGTTCTTCGGGCATGTCATCACCAACCACCAGAATTGCGGAGCAGCATTTCATTTCATTTGAATGCCTAACACACACACATACACAGATGGAAAACCATGACAAAAACTTGTGGCAAAATTTGACTATGGAATATGGAAATTCCTTTTGTTTTTTCTCTTTTCGTTTGTTGTCTTCAGCTCTTTAGACACTTCAATTCATTTGTGTTCCGGCTTTTTGCTCTGATGATGATACCGAAAACAATGAAATTTTAAAGGGTGCTAAATGTTCATAGGAAGTTTTAGCCAGTGAATGCCAGTTTTCGCCATGAAAAACCAAAACAGAAGCAACGAAAAAAAAAAAAACAGAAATGTGACAAAAATTTCGTTGTCGTTGTAAAAATTGTGCTTTGCAATGTTCCGCCAATAGATTCCAGCGACAGACACACAAAGAGATAAAAACAACAAGAACTTTAAAATGCTTGAGAAAAAGTTTTCGTTTTTTTTTTCTTGCCACTTTTATGTGCAAAGTTTACGCTTTTAAGGCACTAACACTCTATCTCTCTAGCCCTTGGAATATTTGCTTTTTTCGATTATATGTATGTACGCATTTCTAGTTGGAAAATTTTCTTTTAGCGGTTTCAGCATCGCGGCTGTGGCGTTGGCGTTTGCTTTAGCTTTGACTTGACTTTTCCTTGCGGTACTTACATCAACTTTAATTCCAGCACCAGTAAATTGAAAAACTTTCATTGCGGGTGTCTCCTTTGGTGTAAAACTATAAAATTCCCGCCGTCCTTTGTACCATTTAACCGAATATAGGCTATCGCCTTCCAAATCATAAAGGCATTTGAGTATGGCCCTCTCGCCCCGACGCACAGCGTGTGGTATTTGTACGCGTACATCGCGTAGGGCTGCTGTCACATCTGTAACGGAAAATCAAAAGAAAAGAAAAAGAAGAAATGACAATAAATTTGTGTTTAAAATTATTGGTTGATAAAAAAATCGAAAAAAGTTTAATTAGAAATATTTTAAAATCCTAAATTTATGATATTTTAAAGGCAAGGCAGAGGATTGTCATACAACTAAGAATTAATGTAAATACATTTTAAATTCATAACTCTGGGAGACAAAATGAAAACTTTCAAAAAGACCTAAAAATAGAAGAAACGTCTATGGCGTTTTGAAAGTTTGCGTCGCAAGTTATCTAAATGGAAGGAATCATTTCCCACCTCTTCCAAATTTGTATACCCTACACCAGATAGTAGTAAGGTTATTATGTTTTTTTTGCATTTGTTTGTAACATGGAGAAGGAAGCGAGATAAACACATAGTTACTTTTGAGGATCTTCATATCTGAGTCGATTTATGCATGACAGTTCGTCTGTCCATGAATTTTTGGGAACAAAATGCAGGTCGAATTTAATATCCGATTGAGATGAACGAATTTTTCAAACAATTTTTTTTTTTTGGCCCGAGGATACAATTGAAAGTGGTGAGGATCGGTTCAAATTTAAATGTAGCTCCCATATATATATCTACAACCGATTTCGGTTTAATTGTGCACCAAATGACTAATATAAGTCAAAATGACCTTAATTTCGGCACATCCGACAGAACTCAGTCTAGAAGCAAGTAGATCAAATTTGGTGAAAATCGGATCAGATATAGGTCCCATATATTTGTTTCATTCATTTGGGGTTTAGGTCCCTTACATGTGTAATATACACTCCACAAAAATAATATTTGGTACCAGATATTAGATGTAGCCCAGAAATATCTCTGTCAAATTTAAACGAGATCGGATCAGATAAGGATTTAGGTATCATGTATATTTTTATCCAATATCAGGTTTATTGCGCACCAAATCGTTATATCAGTCCAAATGACATGAATTTTAGAACATCCGACGGAACTCAGTCTAGAAGCAAGTATCAAATTTGGTGAATATCGTTTCAGATTTAGTTATAACTCCAATAAATATTTTTCATCCGATTTTTTGTTAAAGTCCCTCACATGCATAATATGCAGTCCACAACAATTATATATACTACCGAGCATCAGATACTGCTTGAAAATAGCTCTGCCAAATGGTATCGAGATCGGTTCAGATTTTTATTTATCTTCGATGTACATCTTCACCCGTTTTTACTATTATTTCTCACCCTACATGTGATATCAGCCAAAATTGAAAAGACTTTTTCATAAAAATTAGTAATTGGTACAACAGTGACATAAAATTGTCTATGCAGGTCCACGCCTTCGCATAGCCCGCCAATTACAGTACCTGCCTGTGTTCGGCATTTAACTGATTTCAGTGACATTATTCACCGGAATGGTTTCAAATTTTGTATTTGCACTAAGTAATGGGTACTATAGCCTGTGACAGACAATTTTCTATGCTGGTCCAGGTTTTCGCATAGCCCACCTATATCAGTACCTCCCTATATTCAGTATTTTGATGATTTTAGCGACATTATTATATATATTTGAATTTAATTTATATTTGAATTTAATGCCTACGACTAAAATTGTCTATACACATCCAGTTTTTAATATGGATCCCAATATAATGGTAACTTCGTATATTCTGCATTCTTAAGATTTTAAAAGAATTGTTAAGAGAATTATTTTTTGAACTTACTGCTCTTTACTTGTTATATCCTCAGCCATATGGCTATCATTTGATACGGTCAAAACGTGCCTAGTCGAAATACGGTTTTAGACTCTAGGTCTCTTTGAACCAAATCCGATTCAGGACATTTCGAGTCGATCTAATGATGTCCGTCCGTCTGTCTGGCAGGTGCGCACGATAACTCTGGAGGGCAGTATCCGATTTGGTCCAAACTTGGTACATCGTAATATTTTTTTCAAATTTAGATCGAGTTCGGAGGTAGGTAATATTGCTCCACTCGTTCTGGTGCCTCCCCCCCCACAAAAGACCGATATTTAAAAAAAAAAAATTTGCACGGAAAGAGAGGCGATAATCCGATTTTGCTCTAACTTTGCAAATCCTAATATTTGCGTCAATGTTTGGTGAGGTGCAAAAATGGACAATATCGATCCACTCCATCAAGTACCTCCTACACAAAAGGTCAACATTTTGAATAATTACAACTCTTATAAAATATGATGTAAGAGTTCGATTGTCTTCAAATTTCACACATTCCACTAATTTTATTAACCCAATGTCTGGTGTCAAGACGGAGTACATCGGTCCACTCCTTCTGGTGCCTCTACACAGAAGGTCGAAGTTTTCAAAAAAATATATATACATATATATATTTTTCCACAGAAAGAGAAGCAATAATCCGATTTTGTTCCAACTTTTCAAATCCTTATACTTGTGTCAGTTCTAGGTCAGATGCATAAATGCATAATATCGGTCCACTCCATCAAGTGCCTCCCAATATTTTTATAAACCCAAGATCTGGTTTTAAGATGAAATATATAGGTCCACTCTTTCTGGTACCTCCCCTAAAATTGGTCGAAATTGATTATCCATTGAGTGAAAGGCGAATTGAATATCCGATTCCATTTAGACTTGGCACATACGAATATTTCTATCAACACAGGATCTGTTATAAAAACGGTGGAGATCCGACCATTTCTTCTGTACCTTCCCAACAAAGGGTCAAAGTTTTGAATAACAAAAACGTTTATAAAATCCGAAGTATGCATCAGATTCTCTTTATATTTCACACATCCATTTATATTTCCACTAACAAAAAACCTGTCCACTCCTTCTGGTACCTCCGCCACAAAGGCTGAAATTTTTGAATATCCTTTTAACTCATACAAAACGAAATTAACATCCGATCCCATTCAAGACTTGGTATATCTCAATATTTTTACCAACACAAGATCTGTTATAAAGTTGGTAAAGGTCGGACCATTTCTTTTGTTCAAGATTGTGAAAAACAAAACGTTCAAAAAAAAAAAACGAAATAAGCATTTAACACTCTCCAAATTTCAATCATACAAATATTTTAGCTAATACAACATATGTTGTGCAGATGATATAAATCTGTGAAACCCTCACTCACAAAGGTCACAATTTTCAATACATTTATCTGTCATAACTTGCGAAACAAATCAGCAATTCTTTACAACTTGCTATATCTAAATTTATCTCACTTTATCAGAAACCAGTGATGGATATGAAATTTTTTGCTTTTCCATAAATTTGATATAAAGGTTCGATTTTCTTCTAATATTTCCCATATCAATATTTTTATATGTATTAGTGAAGCATGGAAATGGAATACTTCGGTCGACTATATCTGAAATCTCACGCATATGGAAACATTTTCTAAAAATTATCGTATATGTCATATAAAGTGAAGGAAGTTCCAAATTCCAAATTCTCCCATATTAATGCCCTATGTATTAATTTCTTTCTCGAAAATTCAAGTGCGCAGAATTTTGAGCAGGAAAAACTATTCCGAATTACAGTTTGGCAGTCTTTTACAATTTTGTTACTCGCCTTCTTGTTTTCATACCGTTTTTGTCTTTCAAAAACTCAAAATCGTCCAAAATTATCGTGAGAGCATCCATTAATTTTTTAGTCAAACAAACTATCTACACACAAATCCCTTAAGACCTTTAAATAAAGAAAATCTAAATCCATAATATTATCATTTCAGCTTATAAATATCTGCCAAACAGAAAAAAAGAACGCGCTTATCATATTTTTGTTAAATGTTTATCATTTATCTCTTCCAAGTAAAAAGCGCCTCAAGCATTTAATGTCAAATACTCGACTAAAGCAAACACTTTGGCTAAATCAACTCAACATTTGTGTGTTGTTCCTCCTCGCTGGATGTTTCTTTTGTAGGCAGTCATTCAGTTCAGGCTTTTTTGTCCCGTTGCTAACTAAATAGTAGCTGAGGCAGTTCTTTTGAAAACTGTGATTTTTTGCTTTCTCTGTAGCTTTTGTTGAGAGCGTATTTACTTAACAGAATATCCTGGTGTAAAATCTCAGACCATTAGGGAGCAAGAAATGTTTGGTTGGGCGTGTTCTTTGGTGGTTGGCGGGCTCTCTGTCTGTCTGTCGAGTGTTGGGTGGTGTTAATAAAGGAATCAACACTTGGCAGGCATTAACATACAAGTGGCACTCAGGAGACACTCGCCGACTTTTTTCGTATTTTTGCTTTTCTTCTGCAACATTATTTTTGCAACTTTGCTTGGCTTGAAAACCCCCCAAAAGGGACCGTAAGAGCCAGAAAAGTGTCAGCAGGAGTTGTTATTGAAAAAATTAAAAACTTTGTTTTCATTGTGCAATTAAGTTATTTTAACTTTTAATTTTATTTAGATTTTGTTAGAGAGCGCAATAAATTTGTTGGTCTCAGCAGTGAGTGTTTGTCGGTACGTATTTGTCCTGTGGTTATGTGTGTTCGGGTGGCTGGTTGCTCCGCTCTGCTCTGCTCTGCTCGATGCTACCAGTGACCCTGCAATATGTGTACATAATAAGTTTATTAGCTTTTCATCAGCAATCAGAGGAGAAAGTGATAAAACTTTTGTTTAAAACTTTTTTATTTTATGACAGTAGAATTAATAACTTTGCTACCCCCTGGAGGGGCGTTTTGCAAGAGGTACCGAAATATTTAATAGAAAATATTGCCACACAGAAGAAGAAATTAATAAACTTCGAATGGCATTGTCATTAGCAGATAAACTAATAAAAGTTTTTAATAGTTCTGACCCCAATGGCACAATGTGGAGCACATCATAGCGGAGTAGATATGCATAACGAAATAATAAGAACTGCAAAAATGAAAGACAATTTAAACTAGTAGATAAGTGGAAGAAAATTGAGAGAATTCACCTAGAAAACTTAATTGTTCATCTTCATGCAAACAGGTATCTAGATATGTCAACGCCCAGATGACGACTTTGAAGGAAAAGCCTTGAAATTCATTATTTTGGTAAATGTTAATTAATGTGTATCAGAGATACAGGTTTGGATTTTAGAAGTAAAAGAGTATATTATTTACCAAATTATAAAAAAGTAGCAAACATAGTACAATTCAAGTTGAGCTACGAATTTACTAAATTTCTTCTCAAAGTACAAATGATTTTTGAACATTTCTGAGAAGTAAAACATATTTAAACTATTTAAATAGTGTACCATAGGTCGTAATCGATTGGAGCTCAAAACTTATCTAAAAATACACAGTGCGACAAAATTAATTGTTTTCAATTTATATTTAACAAGTAAAAAATCAGAAAGTAAGCCTGCCCGAACTTGGAATACCCTCCACCATTTGGAACGAATTATAAATATTCAAAACAAAAACCAGTAAGGAAAGGTAAAAAAACGGGCTGGGCCGATAATATAATGCCCTACACCAGTATGCGTATTTATTAGACCTCCCGTAACAAAAAAAAAAAAATATATTATTTCAATGCTTATCATGGTTTAAAGAAGTAACAATTTAGAAACTATATGCAACTCTGAATCGATTTTCAACAAATTTGACGAAGGCTTTTGTGCATCTAGTACAAAAAAAAAAAATATATTGTATTGTATTATGTCAAAAAATATATATTTGAACATAGATATACCGGACAGAGTTTCACAAAATGGAAAAATTTGGTGGAATATGAAAAATCTATCCAATTTGGGCTGCATGTAGGTTGGGATGAAAAAAACTGCAGAACAACAAATTTGACGAAGGCTTTTGTGCATCTAGTACAAAAAAAAAAAATTATTGTATTGTATTATGTCAAAAAATATATATTTGAACATAGATATACCGGACAGAGTTTCACAAAATGGAAAAATTTGGTGGAATATGAAAAATCTATCCAATTTGGGCTGCATGTAGGTTGGGATGAAAAAACTGCAGACAATGTCTGCTGTCATTTCTAAGTCACTCGTCCGACAGCTGTTAAAATTATTCCAGTGACAGCTCATTATAATGTTTACAAGCGTACAAATGGATTTTGGTGAGAATTTTCCAGAAAACATGTTATTCGTGATGGAATTCAAGGGTGATAGTGTGATTTCTTTATATTTAGCTGGAAAACCACAAGTGGCATTTAAATGTGAATTAATCGTTTGTGTCTCGTACAATCGCTCAAATCGTAGCGTAGCCCGACGTCAGGAAAGTGGACGGAAGAAAACAGCAACATCAACCGAAATGGATCGAAAAGTAAAGAAGCGACTTGATCGAAAACCGCGTCGCAGTGCCCGAAAAATGGCTCGTGAGCTGAAAATATCGCAATATTCCATTCGGCAAATATTGCAAGCTGAGCTTGGGGTAAAGCCATTGAAATTCCAAAAAGTGCAAGAACTTACACCGCAACAGGAAGAAAATAGGCTCAAAAGAGCTAAAGAGTTGCTGCGCTTGGCCGAAAGTGGTGAACTGCCGAATTTGGTTTTTCGTTGTCCACCCAAGAATGGTAACAACATGAGGTTCCTCCCTTTATTTCCAGCGCACAATGGCCACCAAAATGTCCGGTTACCAATCCGTTGGACTATTGTGTGTTTAGAATTTTGGAAAGCAAGGTTGGCACTAAAAAAATACCAAAGTGTCGATCTCCTCTAGCAAGCGCTTCACCGGAAATGGGACAAAATACGCAGAGCAACATTCGGGCAGCGTGTGACGGTTTTATTGACCATTTGAAGGTCATAATTCGTGCCAAAGGTGACCAATTCGAACAAATCT